GATATGTTTTTTTCATTTCAGGCGATAACGATATCTATCACGATATAAGCCAAATAACTATATTTGTAAGATTTAAATGTGCCGTTGCTCACAAGTAAAATGTGAAATAATCAGCAGCTTGTTTTTATTTAAATATTTATTTCCCATAATAAGTTCAACAGGGTAGATGTACTTAAGGAACATGAGACTTTTTCAGATAAATAAAGGCAAATATTGCAAACTACACAAAAGGCAGCCGCTAAAGCGTTTAAGTTTCAAAATAGAACAAACGAAACAGACTACTAAATTGTCAATTCCACTTAGAAACAAAATATTAATTCTAAAAATAAATCTTAGTTTGTTTTACAGAAGAACAGACAAAACTGACTAACTTTTGTCAATATCAAATAAACTGAGAACTAAAAGGAAATTCTCAATCTCTCCTTGTTGTATAGCTTAGCTTTTCAAACAGTTTTAACAGTTACTTTAGTCTGACAAAAGCCGAATGACGAATTAGCGCTTCCAGTCAGAGACTGAGGCTACGTCCACACGTACACGGGTATTTTTGAAAACGGAGATTTTCCGTTTTCGTTTTAAAAAATAATCCCGTCCACACATAAAGGCAGAAATGAAGGAAAACGCTGCTATGAACATGCCAAAGCAGCAGGTGGCGCTAGATTCCTAACCGTGCAGAAATGTTGGCCAATCAGAAGTCTAGAAGCCTCGGTGGGAAAAAGTAAACAAAGCTGGGGCATAGAAGCAGAACCGAGTCGTATGTGTGGAGGGACAGTAACTGTGTGTATATGTAAGCATTTAAACACTGCAGAGAGTAGAATTAACAGTAACAGTATTGTAGAAATTCATTTCACCGAAACAATAACGTGGCGCACAGTGTGACGCATGCACCAGTTTATTGTATTTCCAGACTTGCTTTCGGCACAATTTACAGTGCACGCTACTCTGTTTTTTGTCAGACTTGAAATAGCCGAAATACCTTCACACTACGGAACTTCTATGGCTCTTCCGTTCGACAATCTCTCCGGCGTTGGAACCATCATCTGTTTTCTCTTCGGTCACGCTCGGTTGATTTTTCTAGTCGGCACACTCATTTCCTCCATTACCCGCTGGCTGCTTCCCAAACAAACACACGTGCGGCTTGGCACTTGTGCTGTACGTAACAAGTCACGCGACGTGACGCTGCGGCTGTGATTGGTTCGGCTCTGCGCTACTTAGTTTGGATTGGCTGACCTTTTTTTTTATTTTTTTTTATTTTAAGAGGACAAGAGCGGCGAGGTCTATCGCGATAGCTTAATTTCTCTATCGAGTAAAAGTTATATCGCGATACATATCGTTATCGTTCTATCGCCCAGCTCTAATTGTAGGTGGTAACTTCTGTCTGAACCCCGCCTCCCTAAAATAAATTCAAGATGGCAGCAGCCCAGATGTTAAAATTCAAGCCACAACCATCTTTGGTGATATGAAAAAATCTCATATCGCCCAGCTCTACCTACAATGAAACAGACAGCACTCATGTATGGGTCAGCAAGCAGTACCGTTTCAGCAAACACATGCACATCAAAAACATTCACTCAGACTGAACCACAAAGTTACTGATGTCTGCATCACAGCAAGCTCACAAATGCTGACGTGTTGGTCGAGGCCCAGCAGCCTCCAGCATTAGATGCTACCTGATATGATAGAAGCTTAGTCTTCACTTGCGTGCTGAGCTAGAAGTGTGACTTTGTCTCGTCCAGCATGCTGTGTTTTGCTAATCGTGTGTATCACTCACTGTGAGGTACATACGAGACATCCTTACATCAGTTACCACAGTAAATATTTTAAATGTAACCTTTTTGACTGGATTGCATTATGTAAAAGTCTAAACCCTCTGTGCTAGTGTGAGGACGGAGAGTGTGCTTCAAACAAAGGTCACCCTGACCCTGTTCAGAAGGCGCCTGGTTTTGTCCGTCCTCGGGGGGCCTGCAGGGGTTGGCCTGTTACTGCTGCTGGTGACCCCTGTGGCTGGATTTGTGTCTCTGCTAGCTACTGACATTAAGAGGTGTCATTGTGCCAGAGCTAAAGATAATATTCACACTCATCTTAATTCCTTGAAATTCAGTCGTCACTTTAAAATGAGTGGTTGAAGCTCATAGTGGGGTCATATGAACACACCTGATGGGGGAGCAGTTGTTGTCCCAGTGAAAATGATAACGTGTGGACGCAGGTTTCCACGTGTTTCTCTCCATAGTCGAGAGAGTCGGCTGAAGATGAGCCAGTCTGGTTTTCTGTAAGACTGAACTCACCTGTTAGAAAAGTCTGAGGCTCCGGTGGAGCTCAGGATTTATCCACAGGAGATAATGTGGAACGTGTGGAACACCAAACATTATGTACCATCCTGATCTGTTTGTGTGTTAATGAAAATACTGTGTGTAAATGTGTCTCTTTGTTTTTTCCACGGCTGTGATGCTGCTGGCACTTATTGAAGTTACAGGGTGTGAAATCTCACCACTAGATGGCAGCAGTGTTAGTGTTACTGCTGTGTTTGCAGCTGTTAGCTGTCAGTGCTAACATCGGTGGACGCTCACACATGCATGAGCATGTATTCAGACTGTTCTGCTGGGTTCTCACCACATACGTAAAACACGATTCGGTGACACAGCATGTCCATCCTTGCCTCTGTACTCAAGATGGCGAGGTAACATGGCAGCTTCCACAGCACAGCTATGAGAAGGATTGATGTTACTGGGAAATGTAGTTACACAGTAATCATTGCATGAGTACAGCATCGGTCTCAGCACGCTCCGCTTTGAGTAACTATTTTTAAATCCCTGTAGCACTGCAACCACGTAAGCTAGCGCAATATTTTTCTTTTTTTGCATATGAAACCGGAGGAGTTGTACTTACATCTTATGCCATCAGCTTGTCCTAGGTCACGGTTTCCTTCCACATATAGTTTTGCAAAAATTCTATAAAAAGCGCTTGCAGCAGCGAAGACATAATATTCCAGAAATACGCTTTGCTGATCCATCAGCTGTTCGTAACACTTCCCACACTGAAAAAGACGTCAGCGCGAACAATCGCATGTCCGCCATTACCTGCCCGAAACCGGAAGTGACGTCGTTTTCGCGGAAAATGTGGGTTGTTTTTTGTTATTTTTTTACTTATAGGCCTTATAAACCTATACTGGTGTTTTTAAAGGTCATGTTTGACTTGATGCTTTTCTGAATAGTTTCTGGGATAATTAGAACTCGAATTGCACTGCTGGAAATAGTTTATTTTGATGCACCTGCTGTTTTCTTTGCAAATTTGCATCATAGGATTGTTTTTCATTTTTTTTCTGCAGTATATAAAAATTGCTGTATCTCAAAAATAAAACTATGAAGACACTCAAAATAAATTTCCTGTTGTTGTAAAATATTTTTTGCAATTTTTTTGTATTTAAAGTTTTGAGGGATGAACCTCTTAAATTTCTCCAAGTAGAAATATATGTTAAAACCAAAAATGACTTTCAATTTTTTTGTAGTTTATTGCACTTTTTTGCAATTAATGTAGCACTATATGGACTTAATGCATACATATTATTAAAATTTGGGCTATAACAGTTGTATTGCTGTATAGCAACTTGAAATACTCCCAAAATTGGCACTACAGCATGTACAAATATAAGATGCGCTCTGGCGGACTTGGTTCTATGGTCGGTCTTAAAGGGTTAAATAACATGGGAGTTGTTAGTGTCAGCCTTGAAGTCAAGGTTCAAGGTTCTTCAAGGTTCTTTATTATTTGTCACATGCATAGTTATACAAGTATAACACACAGTGAAATGTAGCCTGACACGCTCCTCGACATGTGCAAAAATTGGGGGGGGGGGGGGAGAGAAGAACATTATATATATATATATATATATATATATATATATATATATATATATATATATATATATATACACACACACACACACAACACATATATACACACACACACACACACACACACACACACACACACACACACTGGGTGAATGTGCAGTAGTAGCAGCAAGCAGGTGAATTCTGTACATTAATATGAATAGATATCTGACTATTTTACAGGATAGACAATATAAACATATTTAAAATTAAAGGAATTGAAATGTACATTGTGCCTTGGTTTAGTGTCTGGAAGAGTCCTGTCTCAGTCAATTATAGATGATGTGAGAGGGCGGGTGTGTGTGTTTAGGGCACGGATGGCTTGGGGATAGAAGCTCCTCTTGAGTCTCTCTGTCCTTGCCCGGAAGATGCGGAACCTTCTACCAGATTGCAGAAGTTGGAACAGTTTGTTGCCAGGATGGGACGGGTCCTTCAGTATCTGCGCTGCTCTAGTCCGGCATCTCCTGGTGTAGGTGTCCTGAAGCGGGGGGAGAGCAATCCTGCAGCAGCGTTCTGCTGTACGGATCACTCTCTGGAGAGCTTTTTGGTCCTTCACACAGCTGTTCCCAAACCACGATGTCATGTTCTGTGTGAGGATGCTCTCCACAGCGCCTGTATAGAAAATCCTGAGGATCTTTGGAGAGACCCTGAACTTCCTCAGTTGTCGTAGGTGATACAGGCGCTGCCTAGCCTTTTTGGTCTGGACCTGAATGTGGGCAGCCCATGTCAGGTCTGAGGAGATGTGGACACCAAGATACTTGAAGGACTGCACCCTCTCCACTGGAGCTCCATTGATGATAATGGGCTTGTAGTCTCTGTGCTGACCCCTTCTGAAGTCCACCACCAGCTCCTTGGTCTTGCTGACGTTCAGCTGGAGGTGGTTGTCCTGGCACCACGATGCCAGATTCTTCACTTCATCCATGTCATCCAAGTCACATTCACAGGCAGACGATAGCTCTGTTTGTGCGCCGCTGACATGTTTTAACGGCGCCGATGTCGGCGCGGCACGTCTGGGCGTGCTGAATGTGCAGGTTTGAACCCACAAATGTCTTCCAGGTAAACGGCAGTGTGAACCACTGCACCACCCAAATACTGTACGAGGACCACTACACCGACACTGTGACTAGTGTTGACTGTGTTTAGCAAACTGATGATAGTAAGTTTAATAATAAAAATCCTGTTTGGCTGGTGCACCGAGGGCCTGAGGCTGGCAGGTCCGGAGTTTTCCTTTAAAGAAGCAGGTAAGGTGCTGCAGCAGGAGCAGAGTCTGCACATGTGCTGTGTCACAAAAGCATTTGGAAGGGTGGCGTGAATATTGCAGAACATGCTGCTCCCTGTTTGTGCTCCACTCACAGCATCCACCTCCCTCTTCGAGCACCTGTCTGCTGCCTGACCCTGGTCTGCCTGCTCCTCCTCCATGTCCTGGAGCTCGGCCTCACCTGGGTTCCTGTTTGTGCCGTAGCTGACAAAGATGCAGCTTCTTGAGGATTTGTTGTGGTTTCCTGTTTCTCTGCTGTGTTGCGAGTCCAGCTAAGTCACGATTTATGAAATTTGTTTGTATTTAGTTTATTTTGAAGGAGACACACTGACGTTTACACAGCAGTGTGTAGGTGTTGTTGTCCTTCTGTGTGCTGCTGGAAACAGGAACATGTTGGAGACCACAGGACTCATCATCAGGAACATCTCCATGAATATTGCTGTTGTTGATGTTGTGGCTTCCATTATATCTGTGTGTGTGTCACTGTGTGTATTAATGTGTATCCCTGTTGGTCTTTTTCCAGGCACAGACATCTCAGTGGGAGAAGAAGTTGCGATCAAGTTAGAATGTGTGAAGACGAAACATCCGCAGCTCCACATTGAGAGCAAGATCTACAAGATGATGCAAGGAGGAGGTGACCACAGTCTGTCTATGTCTTCGTTCTCATGCAGTCTGTCACGGTTAGCTGCAGGACTCGTTAGCTGCAGGACTCATTAGATGGTAAATGGTAAATGGCCTGTATTTATATAGCGCTTTACTAGTCCCTAAGGACCCCAAAGCGCTTTACATATCCAGTCATCCACCCATTCACTCACACATTCACACACTGGTGATGGCAGCTACATTGTAGCCACAGCCACCCTGGGGCGCACTGACAGAGGCGAGTCTGCCGGACACTGGCGCCACCGGGCCCTCTGACCACCACCAGTAGGCAACGGGTGAAGTGTCTTGCCCAAGGACACAACGACCGAGACTTTCCAAGCCGGGGCTCGTACCAGCAACCTTCCGATTACAAGGCGAGTTTCCAACTCTTGAGCCACGATCGCCCGTTAGCTGCAGGACTCGTTAGCTGCAGGACTCGTTAGCTGCAGGACTCGTTAGCTGCAGGACTCGTTAGCTGCAGGACTCGTTTCCTGCTCCTACTCTCTGCTCTCTTTATTCCTCCACGTGTAATGTGATGGACACTTGCCTGTCGTTGCAGTGATCCCATTAGTCACCAAACAAACACAAGGTCATGTTGAATGACCTCAGTGAGCCGTGGACCACCGCTGTGCTGCGGTTTAGCACAGAAGGCTTCTGTGTCCACGCCTCGACTGTCCCGTGGGTTGGATGTAGCAGCCTCAGCTCGGTGCACGGCTCACAGCAGTGATGATCAGAGTTTAACACAAAGTTTGTTTCAGTTCAGGATTATCACTGAGAAAGTCAGACACTGTGAATCTGCGGCGCTCCACACTGCTGAGCTCTTCCTTCATGTCCGTGTCAGTGCTGGGAGCACCGGACAGCACCAGGTAGTCCAGCTCTTCCAGGTCTCCCACTGCAGTCTCAGGACTGTGAGACAGGTCCACAGAAGGACAGGACAGACCTTCATGTGGCTGGTGTAGGTGGTGGATGCACCAACAGCACTCATTGGCCTTCATGTTCCTGAGTCTAAATCACACCCTGTGGGATGTGATGTAAGCCTGTGACGTAACATCCTTGATGCAGGTCTGAGAGGAGACCCCAGCACAGCTCAGCCAGTGTCAGGATTGCCTGCAGGCACATGTGGGCTTTACACATTGCAGAGATGCTGCAGAGTTTCCTTTAGAGCGTGGAAATGACTGCCCAAACCAATACACAAGTAAGACGCCAGTTTTCATTTTGTCAGCGCCACATTTAAAGGAGGGAGTGAAGTAGGACAGAATCACACTTTGTTACGTGGGTGTGGGCCTCAGGAGCCCTGCTGAGTGTGAGTGAAGGTTTCAGTATCAGAGCAGGAGCACTTTGTTACCCCCGAGGACACGCCCTTCATCACTGTGTGCTTATTCTGAGCAGCGCAGGAGGCGGTGATAGTGGAGACGCTGCCAGCAGGAGAAACCCATCAGACAGTGACTGCAGACGCATTTTTCTGTGTGGTTGCAGTGGGCATCCCAACAATAAAGTGGTGTGGAGCTGAAGGCGACTACAATGTGATGGTGATGGAGCTGCTGGGACCCAGCCTGGAGGATCTCTTCAACTTTTGTTCCCGCAAGTTCAGCCTGAAGACGGTCCTGCTGCTCGCTGACCAGATGGTGAGCTGCTCTCACACGAACGTGCACACACATGTGCACGCACACACACACACGAACGTGCACACACACACAAACGTGCACACACACCTGCTGCTCACACACACACACACACGAACGTGCACACACACACACGAACGTGCACACACACACACACGAACGTGCACACACACCCGCTGCTCACACACACACACACGAACGTGCACACACGTGCATGCATGAATGAAGCCGGGCGCAGATACGAGCTGCACTGGACCTAATCTGTCTGTCTTTGTTTGTGGTCCACTGCAGATCAGTCGCATCGAGTACATTCACTCCAAGAACTTCATTCACAGAGACGTGAAGCCGGATAACTTCCTGATGGGACTCGGCAAAAAGGGCAACTTGGTGTACATTATTGACTTTGGTCTGGCTAAAAAGTACCGAGATGCTCGCACGCACCAGCACATCCCGTACCGCGAGAACAAGAACCTGACTGGCACCGCTCGCTACGCCTCAATCAACACTCATCTTGGGATCGGTAACAAGCCTGTTTGTCATCCGCCACGCACTCCTGCTCCTCTTTATCCCACCTGAGATACTCTGCTGCTGTAGTGAAACCCGTTTCCTCTTCATCATCTTTATTTCCGCTCGTTGTCTCCACAGAGCAGTCGAGGCGCGATGACCTTGAGTCGTTGGGATACGTCCTCATGTATTTCAATCTGGGCTCGCTTCCTTGGCAGGGGCTGAAGGCCGCTACCAAGAGGCAGAAGTACGAACGCATCAGTGAGAAGAAAATGTCCACGCCAATCGAGGTGCTGTGCAAAAGCTACCCCTGTGAGTTTGCCGTCTTCAGAGCTTTCCTTTATTTGAAGCCGCGTGATCCCAGCTGCACGTCGGCTCAAACATGTTTGTTTCCACTCTGTCACAGCTGAGTTCGCCACCTATCTGAACTTCTGTCGCTCCCTGCGCTTCGATGACAAGCCCGATTACTCGTACTTACGGCAGCTCTTCAGAAACCTGTTCCACAGACAGGGCTTCTCCTACGACTACGTGTTCGACTGGAACATGCTGAAGTTTGTGAGTATCAGCTGTCAGAGAAGCAGGAGAACATTAAACAGGTTGAACAGGTGTGACTCCATCCTGTGGTCTGAGATGTTGGAGCTGCAATATCACTCAGTTTTTTTCTTTAGTGCTGAAACACAACAAGGATGACCTCGAGGCCCTTTTTACTGTAAGGGCAACACTGAAAGTAGCTGTACATAATGTTTTGTCTGTGAGATGGTCACGAGTCTTTTTTTCTGTAATGGATGAAAGTTAATTTGTAATTCATGAAATCTTTATTAGTTAACGTTAAAGAAACAGATGTCAGCCTGAAGCAAACTGTGTTTCCTGACACAGCAGGTCCTCTCTGCTCTCTGCTGCGTCTGTTTACACAGGACGGTGAGATGTTTAGTGACCTGCTAGGATGCATCACACACGGGGACCAGACTGACAAACAGGGCTCGTCTCCTCCTCGTTTGTTAGCTGCTGGTTTGTTATTGTGTGTTAAACATTTAGAAATGATCTGCAATGGTTGTTTGAGTCCTGCTGACAGCTGCTCAGTACCAACACAGCTGCCGGGTCCAGCTCAGTGAGGGCTAACAAGTCATCATCCACCTGTCACTCAAAGCAGCCACGCCTCTAATTATGGCCGACTGTTCACATGTAAAGAGAGTAAAGAGAGAGTAAAACTGTGCATAGACATGAACACGGGGTTAAAGAGCAGCTCTGCAGTTTGTAACAGGGCACACTGTGAGTTTGGATCATGTCATAGTTTTAGTTGATACTTCATTACCCTGTTTTTCTGTGGCTCAGGTTCAGATGTCTCGGCGTGGACTGTGAAGGTCGTTACTTTGCTTTAGACCAAAGCTGGTGGAAGTCCCACCCTGTCAGTCGTCCATGTTGGCGACAAACCAGGATGGCAAGCCTGTCACATTAGTAAGATGAGTGTGTGGAGGCTGGTACGTGGTCCTGTGATGGCGTCTTTGTAACAGAGAGAGGAACTCATGAAGGGGAATAGAGCTCCTGCACGAGTGCACGCATTAGTGCAAAAAGTACAGAAGCCTGCTGAGCATAAACGAATCTGTGCCGGGCCGAAGTGCGCGCGATGGTTACAGTACAGGGTTAGCATGCGTGCAGAGGCTAATAAACCCGCAGAGTCTCAGTCGGTCCATAATCTGTTCTGTGACCTGCTAAAGGGAGCCAACCGTGCAGCAGAGGAAGCAGAAAGGGAGCGTCGGGATCGGGACGATCGGTTGAGGCACAGCAGGAACCCCGGGGCCAGAGTCCCTGCTGCGCCCGGGCGCCCCCGAGGGACCCAGGAGGGAACAGTGCCCACCCCGCTAACACCCACCTCACAGACAGGTCAGTTCACTCCAGCTGCGTTAGCATCGTTAGATCACATGTAAGTGTCCCAAATACGCAAAAAATGTAGGAAACAACCTTGGTAGAGGACTGTGTTCTCCGTTAAAGAAAAGGAGATCGTTTGTACATGTATCTGTGCACTTTCATATTTCTGTGTTCCAGATGCTCTATGTTGGTTTTTCTTACAGGTGCAGTGTTGTGCATTTCTATTTGTACTCCATCCTTTTATTAGATTTTGTTCTATTTTCTCCCTCCTTCCTTTTATTCCTTTCTCCTGCCTGTCAGCTCAGATGCTGTCAGCTGTAACTGAAATAACACCAAAGAATAAATAAAAGAAACACAATGTAGACTTATAGAGCTGATCCTGGTGCATTCAGATCACAACTCTGTAGGAATCTGGTGTCCAGACGTGTTTATATGCAGTGCGCACGTCCTGTAGACGAAGAGGAGCTGCTCCTGTAGTGTTGCTGTGGCCTCAGTGGCCTCAGCGTGTCAGCTGATGATCTGTCTGCTGTTGTGCGGCTGGCTCCTTGATGGAGGTGATGGTGCTCTCACATCGTTTGTCTTTCCTTTAACGGTTCAGGTGATGTTACTGTGACACGGTGCAAGCGTGTACAGGTTAACATGAACTCCAGCCCTTTGCAGTCAGTCTTTGACTGGGACTGACATGGACTTATTCATCTCACAGTACGATGTGTTTATGGTCTCCAGCTAACACGTCTCCTCGACAAGTGTCCGGGATGGAGCGTGAGCGAAAGGTTAGCATGAGGCTGCACCGCGGCGCTCCGATCAACGTGTCATCCTCCGATCTGACTGGGCGACAGGACACCTCCCGCATGTCCACCTCACAGGTACAACACTCCCTCTGCTCCTAGTCTGTGTGAACCAACAGCACGAGACTCACTGAATATTTCATGTGAGCTGAGCACGCAGGAAAGCCCGCGCACAAGTACGGACGACAAAGCTGGGCTTGTTTGGGTTTTCAGCAGTAGTACAGCAGTAGTACAGCAGTATTACAGTATTGCAGCAGTATTACAGCAGTATTGCAGTAATAGTACAGCAGTATTGCAGTAGTAGTGCAGTAGTATTGCAGCAGTATTACAGCAGTAATTTTTCTGTAAACTGGTACTTGTTGTCCTGTAATCTGATGCCTGTGTGATGATGTCGTGTTGCTGAGTTGTGTGTTTGGATTCTGACATATTGACTCTGTTCTCTCTCTTCCCTCAACCTCAGAATAGCATTCCCTACGAGCATCACACCAAGTAGACGCTCGCCATGTCCTCGTGTGACAGCGGCAGCGCGGGGTAAGTCCCTCCCAGTGTTCTCGCCGTGTTTGGTGCAGCTCTTCAGCCTGCTGTCTCGGTCGGACGCCGGCTGTGGGGACAGCTGTGTTTTGGAGCGTCATGGTCTGTTCTGACACTGGCTGCTGCTCTGTGTCTCCGTCAGGTGGTGTCTGAGGTACCATCCTCTGGTCTCCAGCTACGAGCTCCTCAACGAGCACCAACAATACAAGCAGTCCGAGCCCTGATCTCCACCATAACGTCTACGGCTCCAGCTCCAGTCACAGACTGACCCTCTGATGCTTTTCCATTTACCTTTGTGATCTGAATCCAGACTGTTGGTTTTCAGGGCTCTTTACTTTTGGGGCCATTTGAACTAGTTTATCAGGGCTGACCCGGCACCGCAGCAGGCTGATCCAAACCATGAGGACCTCACGGACCGCTGCATCAGCCTTCCTCACTGGACGGTTTGTCAGTGAGAACTCTGAATAGGAGCGTCTCGGTCTGAGGGCGGGCGCACTGTTCACACGTTCAGTTTTCATTTCGTCTCATTTGTTAGTGTTGTCGCCGACAGCCATCCCCACACGCTCCTGATTGATTCAGCTGTTTGTGTTAGCGAGTAACTCTAAACCAGGCATCCTGCTGCTCGTGTATGTGAGCTAGCATCAGCCCAGAGACAGCAGCTGAGAGGCCAGCTTACAGCATGACATCACATTTACAGCTGCATGCTGTTTTCCATCTTTTTTTACCGTTGGCTAAAAATCACTCATGTACTGTTTTTAGTTTATTCAAGCTGGCAGGTAAATCTTTTTGCTTCGGTGAAAAACTCAGCACTGGTTTTTTGTTGTTGTTTTTAAACAGGATTTTTAAAGTGCTAAAGTTAGCAGGCTAGCTGCAACATAGCTATGCTGCTATGGTGGCGACGCTAACATCTTTATCTTATTGCAAGTTAGTAAATGAGCTGCAGGTGTGTAGATGAGCTGATGTCCTTGTTTCTCCTGCAGCGTGGAGCCGGTTGTTTGGGCAGAACCCAAGCGTAAATGTTAGATGCACCCGGGAGAGCAGAAGGTTGTCTTGATTTGGTGTAGGGATGGACTTTGGCAATAAAAAGCTAAATGTAACATAAAAGATTGCACAGAGCACGTTTCGATGCATCGCAGGCGTCCGGATACAAGCCTGAGTGTGAGTTAAACTTAAGAAGACACCTTTGCAGGGGTTGGGTTTCCCCCGAGCGTCCCAGGTTTCTCTGCTCTATCACAAAGAAGCACTGTGTTGGGCAAACACATCATTGGGTATATTTCACCAAAAGTTCTTTCACTGTATATATAATATTCTTACTTTTGCGTTCGTATTGTTTCTGCACTGTGAAACATTTATAATATTAAAGTGTGTTTGGGTTTTTGTGACGTACCAGTGGACAAGAGTCTGAACATGATTCAGGAGTCGCTGCGCCTCCTTGAGGGCAGCAAATGAGAAGCTGAAGGACTCTGTCATCCTGGTGCTGTGACAGCACCGTCTGCACCAACCAAAGTGCGTGCCTCTTTTTCAGAAGTAGTGCATTGGGTTTTTATATGAATGCGTCTTACAGTCGACTGTAATAAAGCTCCATCTCTGCTGTGAAAAGGCTCTGCTGTTGTGTTTTTGATGTGAACCTGTGCGCTCTGCTACGCTCCTTCATCACATCTCTGCTGTGTACACATGAGCCAGGAAAACAGACGGAGCTGCAGCAGTGTGCGCGCTCTGATGTTGGTCTGAGAGAGTCACGCACAGAGCAGCTCTGTAACAGCATCAGGCAGGAGCGAACGCAAGAAGGAGCTGAAACGACATAAAGATCAAAGTTTGTAGTGCAGCAAAAATCAGGGTATTGCTCCAAACACATGTAGGAGGGGGAATAACTGGGCAGCTTGAGCTATTATATAATATACTACATGTATTATAGGTAAGTTGTTCACTTTGTCTTCACAGTACTGCTGTAAGGATCCTTGGGAGGGAGGTAGAAATGTCAAAGTGAGGTCAGAGGTGACGTGTTTAAAATCTTTCTACAGTATTTTCTGTAAATGGACAAACGGCACATGACTGTAGGTTCTAAAGCTTTTTGTCAAGTTTCCACCAATAAATCATCAAGTTGACTTTGAAGACTTATCATTGATTTATATTTGTCTCTGATAACGGGCAGCACAGTGGTTACACTGTCCTGACAGTTAGCACTGTCCTGAGTTCAGTTCCAGGTTAGGGTATCGAACTCAGGACCCTAACCCCATCAGGCCGGGGTCTGTGTGGAGTCTGTTCTCTCCGGCTTCCTCCCACAAAGACATGCAGTTAGTGGGGATCAGTGTGAATGGTTGTCTGTGTGTTGGCCCTGCCACGGGCTGGCGACCTGTCCAGGGTGGACCCCGCCTCTCGCCCTATGACAGCTGTGATAGGCTCCAGCCCCCCAATGACCCTGATAGGTCGAAGACGGTGGACGGACTTTGATGACCTCAGTGGGTGTCAGGCAAACTTTGAATGGATTGTTAACACTGGGACACTCTACATGCCTGTTTCCAGTTATGTTTACAGACACAGTGACACCAACGGCAGGAGTTATGTCACATTATTGTAACTGAGAAACGTCACAGCATTGCTCACAATGTGAGGGCGGGGCTGCAATAACCCTGCTGTGCTTTCATCTTAAGACTAATCTGTGTTGACCTTTCTCTGATTATTGTTTCATAATGAAGAAAGGTCAGATATTACCAAACACATATAAAAAAAACTCATCTAAACAACATGTAGTGTAAAAATAAATGTCTTGGAGACAGCAGCTAATCAGATATTTTAATTGTCAGGTTTGGATTCAGCACATTAAAATAACAAGAAACAGCACTTTATATGTGAAACAGACGACTGTCCAGCAGAGTAAGACAAGCAGGTGAACAGCAGCAGTATATCGTGAAGCCTTTTATGGGCATGTTGGATGACAACAGCCATTCTTTCTAAATATGTTTCTTGTTCTTGTATAATTTACCAAGAAACCGTTGCACAAATGACCCAGAGGAACCCACAGACTGAGCTGCAAACATGTTTTCTTTTATTAGCACGTCAAGCTTCACCCTGAAGACGAGCTGCGTCTGCTCACAGACTCGGAGATGTGATTGAAAGCAGCTGTAGGATATTTTTTACAGATGAATAAGACCGATAACTAAAAAGATGATTCTACACTCAAACTGGTGATGAGTTTTTCCTCTTACAGGTGTGGGGCGTTAGAGCCATTTCAGCTGAAAGCAGCTAGTGAACCTGTGACACTTGGATATACATTTGTGATCAAATGTCAGTTCTTTCTTTTTTTTACCGTAGCATCAGATCTTTCTGTGTCCTATTGGTACAATTTATGCTATCTCGCTAATACTAATGTTAATTCCCGGTGTCTTCTGGTGCCTCCGTCACCGTCATGTCTTCCTGCACTTTCAAAACACGGACTTTTCCATTTTCTTTTCCCGTCTGCTCCTTTTTGCCTCCATCGTGTTCTTCGTTTGCCGCCTGGTTGAGGCCCTCCAGCTCAGCGGCGCTTACGGCCATCTCAATCTTAGCCTGTCCATCTTCTCGTTCCCTCCTAATGCAAAGAAAGTTCCCGGTGGCAATGACAAAGGCAGATACTGTCACTTCACAGCCCGCCAACAGGAACACGTACATGTACTGATGGGTAGCGTCCAGGAGCCGACCTGGTGGAGAGTGCAACAGTGTTAGTATGAATGTTGTTCATTGTTCCCGTGATCACTTTATAAAAACAAGGAGGATACTAAGAAAGGGACACATGTAACGGTTGGTTTGTGTCCATGCGTGTTAGAAAGATGGAGCCGAGTACATGACCTAGTGTTTGTCACTGACTATGGATGAACCAAGGGTTGTTATTTTTGGTTTTATCTTAAACAGATACACAAAGTCAACATCTCTGTAAAAGACATGACAGCTGATGTTCTTCGGGAAGTGCTGGGACAGCTATAGCTAGCTTAAAAGCATCTGAAGCTCAAACACTTTAAGTCTGGATCTACTCATGTTGGCTGAGGTGATTAAGTGGTAAACTTCACAGTATAAACCCATCCAGAAAAACCCCACCGTACTAGCTTTCTATTATTTTAATAATTATCATTAATATTGTTTTGCATCGAGGGCAACATGGTGGTTGCAACCCTGTCCTCGGACATTTTCCCATGCAGATGTGAAGAGATGCAGATTAAACTGATAATCTGAGGATTAGGTGTTATTATACAGATGAGATATTTTACTCTAAATGTGGGCGGGATGGTAACAGAGAGAGCACCATCATTGCTTGGATACTCTGACCTGCTCCAGGAGGTCCCACCAGCACAGCAACAGCTTCCATTAGCAGCACCAGGCCAATGGCACTGGAAAACTTCTCTTTCCCCACAATGGCCATGAGGACCTCAAACTGAAGTGCTCCAACCATCCCGTATGATATACCAAAGAAAATACAGAAGACCACCAGACCAGCATAGTTCTTTGCCTGAAATGAGACAACAGGTTTCACACTACGTATACGGCCCAGTTTACAATATTCACTTATTACAACCCAGATCTGCAATCATTAAGACAACTCGCCAACTGGAAGCATTCTACTTGAAGAGGACTTGACTGCAATGTTACCTGCGATCCTATGATGTCAGTGCACCCATTGAAGATCATAGCGAAGCTGAAGAGATAGACGCTTCGAGGCCGCACACGCTTCATGCCTGCTATGAGTCCTGATGCAGGTCGGGCAAACATATCAACAAATCCTAAGATCGAGAGCAGCAGTGCTGAGTTGGTGTCCTTGTAGCCAAGGCCTTTAGCATAACTGACCACAAACACAGGCGGCACAAACAAGCCTAGCACCATCACAGAAGCTGCAATGGCATAGATTACAAAACCTCTGTCCTTGAACACACTGAAGTCCAATAGTTTCTTCTTTGCCTTCGGTTTGTCTGCAGCCAGCAGAGTGTTTTCTTCCAGCATCTGGGTCTTCTTAGGGGTGGACAGGGGCCGCATGAGAGCACCACAGGCACAGCAGTTGAACAGCATGCCTCCTAGAATAAGGAATCCACCCCGCCAACCATACTGGTTTTGGAGACTCTGCCCCAATGGAGACAGACAGCATAGCGCCACAGGGCTGCCTGCTGCTGCCAAGCCATTGGCTAGAGGACGCTTCTCACTGAAGTAGCAGTTCAACATTATCAGAGATGGCTGGAAGTTCATTGCTAGACCCAGACCTGCAGAAAGACGCAAGTATAGAGAAATGAGTCACATTGCAGGGTTAATGAATCATTAATTGATTATTGGATCAATTATTCAATTAAGACAGACAGACTAGTACTTGCCACTCTGAGCATAAATTTGTTCACAAAGTCTAAATATTTAACACTTTTTGTGACTCTACCTGTAATAACTCCAGTGCAGAGGTAAATATGTGTGATGCTTTTGGCAAAGGAAGCCAGAATCATTCCCACTGAAGCAAAGACTCCTCCAACCATCATCACCGGCCTACAGCCAAATCTGTTCACCAGCACGCTGCACAGAGGGCCTAAGAACACAGTTCATTGGTCAGTACACAGAATACGTGTGCAATCAGTTATTAGCAGTTTCATGTGTTATACTTGGGTACCTGTGCCATATAGCATGGCAAGCAGTATTGAGGAGATCCAAGCTGTGGCACTGTAGCCAACCTCAAACTCTTGAATAAGGTCCTTGAAGAAGATGCTGACAGCCTTGGGGAACGCGTATGAGAAGCCAGTGATGACGAAGCATCCCGCCAACACTGCCCAACCCCAGCCTCCATCTGGCGCCTTCACTCCAGGAGGTCCATCATCCAACACCGCTCCTCCCATTATTTTCTGGGAGCTATGATGAGGTCAGTAACTGTAGACACATTGGTACAAAGCACAGACTTAATACAGCCATCAACCAACTCAATGCAAAAGCTGTGCCACAGCTGCAGATTCTTCAATGTGTGAGTAAATCATACTAAACAGACTTTGTGACAAAAAGGAAAAATAAAGCAAACATAAGCTGTCTCTCAGGAGCGTCTCCTCAGCCTGCTATGCAGCCTCAGCAAGCTAACAGTGCTGCAAGTTACTGGATCATCAGCACGTACGGCCTTGTCTGGCTGTTTGCTGGTCTGGAGACATCAGCAGTTGTCAGAAATGAATTAAATGTTGCTACCTATCAATCTGTTGGAGGGGTTATAAGGTCATTTCCAAAAATCTGAACTCAATCATGCTACAACAAGGGCTATTTTTCAAGGAGGAAATCTTCCAGACACTTGCTGATCTTGCAAGTGGATTCTCAGCTAATCCAAGTACAGACCATGCAGTGCTTAGAGAAACCGTAAAGAAATCACAAAAGGATAATGCTCACTACACATGAAGAAATAAAGTGTATGTCCTTAAATGTTAATGGAATCTTTAACCCAGTTAAAAGGGCCAAGATTATGACTAAACTGAAAAAGGAGAAGACAGAGATAACTTTCCTACAAGAAATTCACTTATCAAAAATAGAAGATGAAAAATTGAGGAAATTTGGGTTCAAAAACTCCTTTTACAGCTCTCACACAAACTCTAGGAAAAGAGGGGTTGCAATTCTGATAACTAATTCCATTAAGTTTCAATCTCACAAAGAAATAAAGGATAAGGAAGGTAGATATGTTATAGTGAAGGGTGTGTTTCATCAAACACTGGTCACATTGATGAATGTGTATGCCCCCTGAAAGTAATAAGGAATTCTTCACATTAATTTTTGATATTCTTGTGCTACAAGCAGAAGGTATGTGCATATGTGGAGGAGATTTCAATGTGATATTAGATAGTCATTTGGACACAACCAGCCTGAAGAAAAATGCAAATTCAATTCCAAAATTAGTAAGATATACATTGGAAGACATTAATTATTTTGATGTCTGGAGAGCTTTCCATCTGCTACAGAGGAATTATAGTCATTATTCAGCAACACATTATGTATATTCAAGAACAGACTACTTCTTTATGCAAAAAGGGAATAGAGATATAATAACAGATTGTTGGATTGGAGTGGCAGATGTGTCGGATCATAGTGCTATCTACTTAAAAATCTATCTTAAAGGTAGACCAAAAAACACAATATGGAGACTAAATGTGGGGCTATTAAACAATAAATCTGTGGTAGAACAAATACAAAAAGATGTCAAAACATATGTAGAAGAAAATGACAACGGTGAAGAAGATCCAGTTATTCTATGGGACTGTTTGAAGGCAGTTATACGTGGGAAACTAATCGCAATATCAAGTAACCTTAAAAGAGAAAGGATGAAGCAATATAACGAGTATGTAGTTGAAATGTCACAATTGGAGAATAAACACAAACGCAAGGTAGATGTCAAGATACAACAACAAATGAAAGATATTAAGAAGAAAATTAATAATTTACTCTTATATGAAACATAAGTAAAAGCAAGATATGTAAAACAGAGCTACTATGAATCAGGCCCTAAAGCTGCACGGCTATTGGCAAGACGTTTACAGAAACAACAGTCTATAAATTACATAATTCTAAGACAGAACAAATGGCATATAACCTAGAAGAGATAGAAAGTATCTTTACCGATTATTATAAGGACCTGTATACCCAAAATGCACTTACTAATAATGACCTAAATGATATCAAAACATTTTTAGATGCCTTAGATCCACCCTCTATTGGAACAATACAAAATGATCGCATGACAGCAAGCGATTGGAAAATTAAGAACAAACAAGGCACCAGGCAGTGATGGGTTTCCTGCCGAATGCTACAAGAAATTTGAAAAAAGAATTGATACCCTTACTCCACCACACTCTTAATTGGACTCACACTAAACATGTGATTCTCTCCTCTTGGAGGGAGGCAATTATCACGGTGCTGCCAAAACCACAAAAACAAAGAGAATACTGCCAAAATCACAGGCCTATATCAGTGTTAAATGTTGATTATAAAATCGACCCTACAATCCTATCAAATAGGCGTCAGTCGTTTATACCAGACCTGATAGATGAGGACCAAGCAGTTTTCGTAATAATATCAGAAGGACACATCATACACCAAATACATAAAGACAGACAAGATACCGGCTGCGTTGATAAGTTTTGACGCAAAAAAAAGCCTTCGATCGAGTCAGCTGGGACTTCCTGTACCTAACCATGGCAAAGTTCGGGTTCACTACAAAATCAATCCAATGTATCAAATCTCTCTATGACAAACTGACTGCAAGAATAAAAGTTAACGGTTCATTGACAAAGACGTTCCAGCTAGAGAGAGGAACTAGACAGGGTTGCTGTTTAAGTCCAACTTTATTTGCCTTATATATTGAGCCATTGGCACAAATGATTAGACAAGACGCCCTAATAACAGGAATAGAAATCAATAAACAAGAGCATGTAATTAGTCTGTTTGCTGATGACGTGTTGATAGCCCTCAAAAACCCCACAAACTCTTTTATGCAGCTCACAGAAATGTTAGGAAAATTTGGTAAACTTTCTGGCTACAAAGTAAATATACTTAAAACTCAAGTTCTAATGTTTAATTGTACACCAACTCAAAATCTTAAGGAATGGGAAATAAAGTGGGAGGCAAAAACCCTTAAATATTTAGGTATAAATATAACCAAAGACTATGCCAAACTATATCAAAGTAACTATGGACATATAAATAACAGGATAAGGCAGGATATGGAAAGATGGAATACATATCCGTCATGATTTAGTGACAGGATAAATGTGATAAAGATGAATATCTTACCACGATTGCTATATTTATTCCTCTCTCTTCCGATAAGCATACCTCAAACCCAATTCTCAGAATGGGATAAGTATATATCTAGATTTGTCTGGGAAGGCAAGCGGCCAAGGGTACGATACACTACTTTACAGCTTACTAAGGAGAAAGGAGGAATGTCGCTTCCTAATTTAAAAGAATATTTTCGTGCTGCACAGATACAAGAATTTTGGGCTTATGTGTTGTATTTATTTTGCAGTGTCCAGGCTGCTGAGAGTTGTATGACTTTCTTTTTTGATATATCCTTTATTTTAGATGACTCACAACACCATCTCTGCATGAGAACGAAAATCTTGAGTATATAGGACCCAAATTTAAATCTCTCATTTGTGTCCAGTTGCTCCATTACACATCCCAGGCCCCGTCTCATGCCCCCCACCCACTGGATGATCTGATGTGGTTTTTGGGGCCAGAGCAGAAGCAGTGGTGTCAACAGTCATACATGTTTTTCTGCTGCAATTCAAGTGAAACACAATTTTTCTGTCTTCACAAACACACTTGATACATGCTCAACAGTTTTCTTCCAAAGAGCGTGAAGCACTGCCAAGAAACCATACCACGGGTCATTAGCCATCTGTCAGACATCCTTTTTTCTCAGTTTTTCTCACAGTGATTTGCTGCTTTGCTACCAAACGTCTTTCCTCCAGTGACTCTGACTCTCTGTCTCCCTCTTCAGGAATGACAGGTTTCTCTCAGGAGATCATCGCACTGATAACTGCGTCACGCCCCTCTTGGCTCAGTGGTATCTCTGACAGCTTCTACCTTAAATATTTTTGCTGCCTGTTGGTTTAAATTTACAGCTGCATTCCATGTACCGCAGGGGTGAGGACCTCCAATGATGGAAAAACTCCCCAGCTTTTTGAACGAGCTCAAAAATGGCACCTCCACACTCATCCTGGTGGCAGGAAAGAGACTCGAGATCAGTGATCCTAATAAGATACGCCTCTCTCCAAAATCCCACTGCGAGAAAGGCTCTGACCTACCTGATGCTTAACTCGATGCAGCCCATAAATTTGAGCGATTGCTATTGATTTTGACTTTTCTCCGTAATAAGATCCAAGCAGTAATTTGTCATGCAGGACCACGTTTGGTCTCACGCTGCACGAAAAGCGTGGCGAGAACAGGCGCAGGTGTAACTAAAGTTTCTGCTTTGTCCATAACGGCATCTCGTAATCTTTCTTCCCAAATATTGCAAAGAGAATGCACTTCACTGTGTCTCTCTGCATCCACTATAGGTAAACTGAGACCCCTTATGAAAATAATTCATAATATAAAACTTAAAAGAAGCCTTGAATTTCCTAAGAGACATATTTGTTAAACCTAAGCGAGCCCTGAAACCTATGAGGCATGTCCCAGGTACTGAGTGCTTGAGCATGAATAGTGTAACCAATAACACACTCTTTATAAAGGACTACTTGGTACATAAATGCGAAGTCTCTGGTGCTCTGTTTGAGCTAAGTGAAGGTCATCTTATCATATCTCTAAACACTGTTGGGCGCTGAGACTGACTCCAATAATAAATCCAAGGGCACATTTGATAAAAGTGCTGCTAGTACCACAGAAGAGCTGCACTGCTTGTTTTTGAACAGAAACCTGACTTGATTTTGAAGTTTCAGCTTTCTAATCAGGTCATCAGAAGGACTTTTTTAATATGAGCCTCAAACGTTTCATATAAGCATATAAACATTATGAGTTGGGCACATCAGAACAAACGTTTGGTGACACTTTTTTCCCTCCAGTCACTAAATCACTTTAAAGTAACAGAGTGCAACAGGATTAAAAGAGTTGAACTAACACTTTTATTTTATTTTATTTTGTATTAATTTGAAGAATGTGTCTGATTGCTCCCCATATATCTTGATGTGGTCTCTCCTGTCATGTTATACTTTTCTTTAGACTTTAGCCAAATGGATTTTTTTAATGGATTTTTCCACACATAAAACCAGACCGTCACATTCAGTCACACCGAGCCATGTATATAAGAAAAAAAACTATGAAAATGCTGCGTCATCAAATGACAAAGGAAACAGGAGGAAATCATTGGTTGCTTTTGTCGCTATACTTTAAGGAGGGAAGACCTAGGGGGAAAATACTTGTTTGGAAGAAGTTTCTTCTTAACAGCCGAATCGATCTGTCAGCTTTCATTCTTCTACAGATCTTATACTGTGTTGTCAAGATAGCGGAAGTCAGGCACAAAGGGGAGTTTGAAAATTTGATTGATTGTCTGTCTTCCCTTGTGAGTAGTGAATTACCTCTGTTCACAAAATGAGCCCTCAGAAGTCATTTAGGCATCAATATGACTCCACTTAGCAGGCAGCATAGCAGGAAAATAATGGCTGTCTCAGTTTGACATTAACATAATTTTTATGCTCTACAACATTTGCGGTTTAATGTGAAGTGGTGAGGCTACAAACAGGTTGGTAAATAGAAACTCGCGAGCCTCACAAGCTTTTCCTCACCGTTGGGGTAACGTGTTCCAATTCAGAAATTAATTTCCTCTGGGAGCCGCACATTGAGCCAGGTGATATTAT